TTTTTTTTTTTTTTTTTTTTTGAGACAGGGTCTCACTATGTAGTTGAGACTGACCTAGAACTCACTATGTAGCCCAGGCTGGTCTCAAACTCACAGTGATCCTCCTGCCTCAGCCTCCCGAGTGCTGGGATTACAGGCGTTATGTCACCACGCCTGGCTTGTCACCCACTTTTTAAAAGGGCACAAGATATAGGAATGAAAATTCTTACTGGAAGAAACTCAAATGTCCAATTAACACTGAAGAATCTGCTCTCCCTGGTGAGCCCAGTGTTAGTAATGCAGGGACAAAAGGTCCCTTCCTATTTTGGCTTGTGTCTAGATGCCTCCCCCAAAGCCTCATGTGGTCACAGGTGGGGCATTTTGGAGGTGGCTGGATCTGGAATGTGTGATCAAGAGTATGTGATTACTAAATCAGTTGGCTTGGCATTGTTCTGGGTGTGAGTGCTACCTAATGGCCTGGATAGAATATAAAGGACAGAAAGAGGGTCACTGCCTGCTGCTTTGCTTCTTCACTACTTTGCTGCCTTCTGCCTGCCATGAGCTATTTCTCCCCTGTGATGCCCTTCTGCCCTACTATCCTGCCTTGGAGACAACCAATTACAAACTGAAACCTCTACGAACCAAGAGCTAAATAAACCTTTTCTCCTTTAACTTGGGTTGTTGGGTATTTTGTTTTAGCAAAGAGAAAAGTAACTAAGAGACTTACAAGACTTCTGGGGGCATGTTGGTAAAATCACTGTGGAGGCAATTTGTCAGTGTCAATCCAACTATAAACTGGTTAACCAATGACACAGGAGAAGAGGTCCACAGACATTCACTGTGGCATCCCTTATAAAGGTAAAGAGAAAAGCCAGAAACAGCTTACATCCTGGAATAGTTTTGATACTGTGTATCAGAACACCAAAATGTAGACAATGACTGGACTAGAGGGATTAAGTTAGTGTTTTATCTTCTGTCTAAATCTTCTAAATTTCAGTGTCAATTCTATTAAATAAAAGTTACTGAATGGAAACAAGCTAGAATAAAACAGCTACGGCCAGGCCTGGTGGCATACACCTATAATCACAGCACCCTGGGAGGCTGAAGCAGGAGGACTGCAAGTTTGAATCTAGCCTAGGCAATTTAGTGAGCTCTTACCTCACAATTAAAAAAAAAAAAGTAGAAGAAGAAAAGCTGGTGATTTAGCTCAGTGTAAAAGTCCTAGATTGAATCCCCAGTATTGAAAAAGAAAGAAAAGAAGGAAAGAAAAAAAGAATGCTAAGTTTAGACAGTCATTCCTTGTTATTGAAGGGAACTGATTCCAGAACTCCCTGTGGACACCAAAATCCCTGTTGCTCAAGTTGCCTACATGGAATGGCATCGTATTTGCAATAACCTACGCATGTCCTCCCGTACACTGCAAATCATCTCCAGATTACTTGTACCTCCAAGTGTAAAAAGAGTCAAGGGCCAGGGACTTAGCTCATTGGGCTCACGAGCTCATGGTCCTAAGTTCAATCCCCAGTACCAGGACAGAAAAAAAAGTCATGCAAGTGCATTGGTTTCTGTGCGTGGTCCCAGTAGGGGCCACAGCACATTCACAGGGAAGCTCAGCTGCAGCAATACGTTCAGAGTCTGGAGGGGCGTGGTACCTTCCCCAGTGAACCAAAAAGCAGCAATGGGGCTTGTGTGCAACAAAAGCCTACAATGTGGTCTCAGACTACCAAGTGCCTGCACGCTTCTCTACCTGCACAGACATCACAGTGTGGTCCATGGGCGCCTGGACCATCCTAGTGGACAGCAGCTGTCCCTCCCTGTCGTTCTCAAGGATGTCTTGGGCAGTTATGTGGCCAACTGGCAGCTGGCAAGCCAGCAGCTGGCCCACAATCCGGCTTCTCCAGTAAATCCAGTCTGCGTTTTACAAAAAACCCGGCCTGTGAGCCAGAGAGAAACACCCTGCGGAATCCAGAGGAAGAAACAAATATTTTGGCAGACATGGAAAAAACATTGCTGAAGAGAAATGAAACCCTGGAATAGGCCTATTGGCCAGGCCTAATAAAGACAAAGGAAATCCAACAGTTGTGCTCATGACCCCACTCTCAGGAAGGACCCCACAAATCAGTGCGGTCCCTTGGTGTCGCTCACTGTGTGTGGCAGGAATGGAGGCCCACTCACCTGTCTCCTCCCCTGGAACCCGGCAAGTGTTAAACAACCGCTCCCACTGCGCCGAGCAGAGGGGAATGGAAGCAGCGAGACGAATCTGTGGTGAAAACGTATTTCAGACAAACAAGCAAGAGTTCCACAGGAAAATAAAAAAGGAGGAAATGAAGTCTGCACATCTAAATGCTGTGCCTGTTCTCTGTGCTCAGCTCCATCTTCTCCAATTGCTCCCTGGGGTGGTTCACAGGGGACTTGGCTGAGCCACCTTCCGGCCCTCGCTTCCAAAATAACGCATTCAAATCGATTCTTTACAAACTGATGCTTAAACCAAAGGGGTATTTAAGAGAGAAATGAGCCAGATACAGGTGCGTGCGTCTGTAATCCCAGCTACTCAGGAGGCAGAGGCAGGAGGACGGCCAGTTCAAGGCTGGGCTGGGCACCTTGGTGACACTGTCTCACCAGAAAAAATAAAAACATCAATGGGGATAAAATAAAGTTTTTTCCCCCAAGGAGAAATCCTATGACTAACTTATAGCAAACATACATCTGTTATATAATAGATATAACAGAATTAAGTCTCAAAATTATGCTGGGTAGATGTATAGATAGGATTCCATTTTCACAGAGTTTTTCACCATTACAAACTAATTTGAACGACAGACAGCAAATCGGTGTTACCTAAGAGGGAGAGATTTTGCAGAAGCAGAACTTTTGGGGTGACAGACTCCACTATCCTGACTGTAGTGATGGATTGAGGGGTACAAGGGTACAGCTATGTAGGAACTTATAAGATCATGCATGTTTAACAGGTGCTACTGTCAATCTCCCTCAAGAAAGCTGTTCTACAGGAATTTGTTCAAGGCTCAGCATTTGCATACTGGTTGGATTTCCTCCCGGTCCAGCTTCTGTCTGTACAACAGGATGGAGTGGATGGTGTTGCCCGCTCTCGCTGCCTGGATGGGAGTCGGAGTGACGTACAGCAACTCCTGGAAGAGAAGGGTATGACAGCAGAGAATGTTCATGGGAAAAGATACTGATCTAAACACACTGCAGAGCCACCTGTCCCCACTAGAAAGATTCTATAGATGCATTCAATTTGCAAGGCGTGGCAGGAATAATTTGATCAGTAGTTAAGTTTTTAAAAATCATAGTAAAAGATACATTGCCATCAATACCCCTCAGAATACTCCCATTCACTTTGAACACACTTATCCCAAGGTTCTTGCCACTTTCTGAAGCAGTTCTGGAAGTTCTCTTTTGTGAGTGTCTTTACAAGGTGTGATAAAAAATAAGGCAGATGCTGGTCATCGTGTGGCATTCAATGGGAAGACAGGCTCATTAAAATATGACCGTGCATCCTCACCCACTTATTCACCAGATCTGGCACCATGTGACTTCTGGTTCTTCCCTAAAGTCAAGATGACCATGTTTTTAATTTTTTTATTTTTGGTACCAGGGATTGAACCCAGGTCCTTGTGCTTGTGAAGCAGGCAGTGGAACCACAAAGTTAAATCCCTGGCCCCAAAATTAATTAATTAATTAATTTATTTATTTATTATTTATTTATTTATTTATTTATTTTTTTTTTTGTGGTGCCAGGGATCAAACTCAGGACCTTGCACTTGTGAGGAAGGCAGCAGAACCACTGCACCAAATCCCCAACCCTAGGATGACCATGTTTTGAATCAAATCAGGATACTGAGACAGTCACAGTGGTGCAACTAAAGACACTCATAAAAGAAGACTTCTAGAACTGCTTTGGGAAGTGACAAAAGTGTGTTCAGTGTGTATACGTGTATGTGGGGTTATTCTGAGGAGGATTTATGCTAATGTATCTTTTATAGCAACACATTTGAAACATTCATTGTATTGTTTGATCCTTTTATCTATTGTTTTACAAAACACACTGTCATTTAATTTTTTTCCTGGGTCACTTTCAGTTTGTTAGTGCAGAACACAAGTCCCCAGGTATTCCTGGACTACTAAAAGATAACCATATTCCTCCTCGGCCTCACAGAAAGTACAGGAAGAGAACAATTAGGTGATGGGAAATTTTCTGAATGAGAAGTAACTCAAGCCTAAAATAACCATTTATAATAGAGTTATGCCTGTGACAAAGTTATCACATGCACTTCGAAAAGCCTCCTTTTCCACAGCTGGAAAAAGGCCAGGAACAGCACAGATATGATCATCCTGAAAAGTTCAACACACAGAGTGCGTCCCAGCTGTACAAGCAAAGCATCCCTGTCTGTAGGAGACATGTGGATTCTCTGGGGGAAAGGAGAGAGGCGGACACTGCCTCCATCACACAACCACAGAAGTCCTTTCTCAGTTTGAGACACTTTCATCCAGAGAAGAAAAGAAAACATTTTTTTTTTTTTGAAATGAGAAAAAGCAAAAGCAAATGACAAAGAGGGGAAAATGAAAGGAAGTGAAGAACAAACAGGGACAGGGGAAGTTTAACTTGTTTGCCATTAAACAGAGGCTGACAACAGGAACTGGGGGCTTCTGACAGCTGTCAGTGTTTCTGAGGGTGAAGAAAGGCCAAAGGGGAAGGAAGTGGCACTCAATGCAGGCCACCTTCTACGACCCCGTGGTGTCTCAGCACACAGCAGGGCGAGCGCAGCACACTATCCAGGCTGGGAGGGCACACGAGCCCTTAGGGCCACTGCAGACAGAAATAGCACTGAATGAGGGGAGAGTGGCAGAAGGTCCAGAGCTGGAAGTGTGCACCAGGAGTGTGGTTTCCCAATTCATGTTTCTGTACGGCAGCCCTGAGTCCCCGCGTGACCACACAAACACAAGAGGACATTTACATGGGCCTCTGGTGATGAACACAGGCCTGGGCCAGTGCCCTCCCAGAAGCACAAAGCCTTGGATAGGAAGAAACAGGAGCAGGAGAAACGGTAGTCAAGCCTGAGCTGTCCACAGCCCTGCAGATGTCACCTGCGCAGGACAGTGACTCTGCCCCCATCCCTATTAGACAGCTGGCCCGGCCCAGGGACTCACCATGGCATAGTAGTTGCTGTTCACCATCAGCGGCCCCCGGCCCCGGAGGTAGATGTATTCCTCCCACCAGTCGCTCACCTAGTGTACAAGAAGGGGAGACAACAGCTTAGACTTATCGGGAGCCGAGACTCAGGAAAATGCAGGTGCGCTTTGGGCAGGCACCAGAGAATGATGGGGTCTTTCCAGAGCAGGTGGCCCTGGACACACGCAACTAAGTGGAAATGTAAAGAGACACAGATGGAAGGTGTGTAACCTCCATCCCACAGATAACAACAACAACAACAACAACAACAAAAAACCCCAAGTGGCCAGGTGTGACGGTGCATGTCTATAATCCTAGCACTCTGGGAGGCTGAAGCAAGAGCCTCGCAAGTTTGAGCCCAGCCTGGGCAACTCAGCAAAACCACATCTCAAAAAACAAAAAAATTTAAAAGGCTAGGAATGCAGCTCAGGGCAAAGGCCCTGAGTCCAATCCTCGGTACTGCCAAAAAAAAAAAAAGTAAGTAGTGACTGACTGCTAACATATTTTAATAACCGACCCTCAGGGAGGGGGAGATAGCTCAGTGGCAGGGTGGTTGCTCCTGGGTTCAAATTCCCAGCACCAAAAAATTATCCAAAAATACCTCATAGACTGCTTCTACTCCTTCTATTTCCCAGGTCCTGAAAAAGCCAGCCTCTGTCCTATTCCACTTAGAGCCATGGCACCAACACAGAGACCGGAGTGTGCTGCTGTGTCACTGTCCAGCAGCAATGTCCCACAGTCACCTGGTGAGCTGCCCCTAACACCAGAGGCTGAGCCCCCTCAACCCAGCACGGTCCTCCAGGTCCATCAGGGTTGTTCTTCACCTTGTTTTCCATGTGAGCTGTGCCCCAAAACCCAGATTCTTTCTCCCCACACTGTGCAGTCCCGGGACATCACCTCTGTCCCCTGACTCCCCCAGGCACATGGCTGCTCCACTGGGTCAGGGCACAGACTGCAGGGCCGAGAGGCTTCGCTGGAGCTGATGCTCAGGGGACCCTGGGCCAGAGGCAGCCCCAGGAGGTGATCAGGGCTGGGCTGCAGGGGCCTCCCTGACCAGGGGGCTGAGAGGCAATGATCCGAGCCCAAATGAACCAAACAAGATGGCAAAGGCGGCACAATCACAACCACTGTGGGAGTAAGCTCACAACTACCCGACAGCCAGGAGACAACAGACTCACATGCAAAGCAGCATCAGCCAGGGCAGGGTGCAAATGCTCCTTCCTACCCGGGGAAACCATCACCAGTCACCAATCTGCACGTGGGGCCTCATGGAAGACGGTGACTGATCTCAACTGTGAATCCAGCTGTTATACCTGTCCTCCAGTTAGCATTTTCATACAGAAAAAATGTCATCAAGAAAAGTTACACAGCCAGGCACTGTGGTGCACACCTGTCATCCTAGCCCTGAGGGAGGCTAAGGCAGGAGGATTGCCAAGTTTGAGTCCCTCCTGGGCAACTTTGCAAGACCCGGTCTCAAAATAAAAAATTAAAAGAGCTGTGAATGTCGCTCAGTGGTTAAGTGCCCCTGGGTTTAACCCCCAGTACCACAAAAAAAGAAAAAGAAAACCAAGAAAGGCAGATTATGTCTAGAAATACTTACATAATTTGTAGCCCACCAGGACTTTAACTTCAAATACCACTGCAGTTTTGGTCCAAGATTGACAGCAAAATCTTGGGCAAGCTCTGTCATCCGCTTAAATTCCTCCTCCTTCATAAGAGGCTTCACTGATTCCAGATACTGGGGTGGGTGAAAAAAAACATTGAGCACATTAAACACACACATGGAAGCCACGGCTCCTTCACCTGTGCCTTAGCGAGAGCACATCACACTGAAAAGACTGTGAACCTGCCCAAACTGGCCTCTTCAGCCTGCAGCTGGGTGAACGTACACTGGTGCTAAAAGGTGGATAACTGAACAGTAAGATCCCGCCGTGGTTCATACTTAGATTTCCTCCCAAAGCCTCATGCAGTCCAGGGTGGGGCTTTGGAAAGGTGACTGGGTCATGGGGTGCTACAGATAAAAGTGTGATACGGGGGGTGCTGGTCAGAAGAGGGGGTCCACAGGGGTGGGGCCTGGAGGGTAGGGTCTCCCTCGGACTCCTCCCCTCACTCGCTGTTTCCTGGATGCCATGCTAGGAGTAGCCCTCCGTCCCCTGGGTCTTTCCTCCAGGCCACCCACCATGCAAGGACTGAAACTTGTCAAACACAAGCCAAACTCAACCCCTTCTTTAAGCTCTGGGTGTTGGGTATTTTGGCTCACCAATAAGAAAGTCACTAACACAAACTTCTTCATCCTTTATGGGCTTGATACATGCCCCAAATTCACCAAAGTAAATCTGATAGAGTCTCGGTCACTGCCTGGGGAATGAAGACATTTCAAGAGAGTCTATCTTCCCTTACATGGCTTTGAATCAGGGTCTTATTTCCACTTGTGCCACGGTGACCAGGGAGAGTGCCCTGCAATGGGCTGGGACAGCGCAGAGAGCCGTGCACCAGCTCAGGCAGATGCACAGGATATAGGGGTGGGGGGGTGCCCAGTACAACGGGACAGGAGAGTCCCCGGATCAGGATGTCCAACACAGTCTGACAGGCAGACAGATGCACACCTGCCCGTGCTACAGAACCAGGCATGGGGTGCCAAAATCTGTGGGGAGGAGTTCACACCCAGGACACTTGAACAATTTCACCCTGCTCCTAAGCGAGAATTTGTGCAAAGTAAAACTGCTGCTGCCTCCTGATCTGTCATGAAATGTTATATTCCCACAAGCTATGTGCTGCAAACAGCTCTGGGGTCAGCCCTATATGATGAAGAGTAGGACCCTGTTCCTTGGACAGTGCCAGCTGTTACCTGTCCTGGGGCTTATTCACAGTGAAATGTGCATCCCTGAAACAGAAAAATCATGCTCTGCACTTGCTGCAGTGAGCTACGCAGATGGGCAGGTGCTCAGTGAACACTGGCCTGTGTGTCACCCTTGTGCCACCCTCCTGGGGTCTGTGTGGAGCTGTATCATCAGCACCTGGGCACAGGTGAGGATGCAGGAGACCGAGGGTGAGAAGGAACTTGCCAGTTACATTCAAATCATGAAGCCTAGAAGTTTTCTGCTTAGAGTTTCTAAAAATGGGTCAGAAGACTAGAACCCCTGTACATCACTGGTTGACATGCTGAACGGTACAGTCATTTCACGGTCTGGTGGTTTCTCAACAAGATAAAGGAAGAATTACCCTTCATTTGCACATGGTGCAAAAACCCCACTCCTAGACATGTACCCCAAGCAAGCGGCTACAGGTGCTGAAACAAAAATCTATGCATGAATATTCACAGCAGCACTATTCACAATGGCCAAAAGCTGGGGACAGCTATAATGGCCATCAGCAGCTGGATAAATGAATGGTGGTCTTTCTGGCCACAAAAAGGGCAAAGGTACATCCAGACTACAATACAGATGAATCTGAGAACCATTATGCTCAAGCCAGGCATGGTGGCACACACCTGTTATTCCAGTAATGGGAGGCAGAGGCAGGAGGAGCGTCATAAGTTCAAGGCCAGCCTGAACATAGTGAGACTGCCTTAAAAAAAAACAAACGAACACCCCAAAAATGCAATGATACATTAGAAAAAATCATGACAACCATACAAGGTACATTGCTGAGAAATAATAAAAGCAAATGACAGCTGGGCATGGTGGCATACACCTGTAGTCCCAAGACTCAGGAGGCTGAGGCAGGAGGATCGTAGTGAGTTTGAGGCCACCACAAACTATATAGTGAGTTCAAGGTCAGCCTGAACTGCATAGTGAGACCTTGTCTCAAAAAAAAAGGAAAAAAGGAAATGACAGTAAATTAACTTACAGTCATAATGGACACCAGACTTAATGTGAAAGGTGCCTGGCATTCCCAAGTACAAGGAGGGTGTACACTCACCCTCTTCATGGTGTTTTTGACGGCTGGCACTGGCTGGCGAGGCAGAGAGGTCTGGAAGCTGTACAACATGGGTTTCCGACCTGAAAAGATCTTGACCATGGTCTGAAAAGAAAAGTTACAGTTTCAAAGATGAGGCTAAGTTACAGACCCAAAGCCAGCTCTCCACTGTACCATGCCCGCTACTTACTGATCATCTCTGGCGATATGCTTTTCTGAGGACCCGTTCCCTGTCCCATACTCACAGGCCTTGGTGCACACGCGCGCGCACAGACACACATAGGCACGCCAAGGAAAACGAGGCTGCACAAAAGCCTCGTGTGACAGAGGCTCTGAGACGCTACTACCTGGTTCATTCTCTGGCCAGAACCCATGGGGCCTGTGACATCCCAGCCTGAGTGGGCTTTCACTTGTGGGGTTACACATGAGGCCCTTGGTTTGGGGGTTGGTTCAAGGCTCTGGGGACACAGCAAGGTCATCCCAGGTGCCTGGCCCTTGGCACAGAGTCCCTGGGTGAGGTCAGGACTGTAGGGCGCACAGTCCACCCCGTGGGTCCTGGGTGCGGGCTAGCTGGTCCAAACCTGCTGTGGTAAGTGGTTATCTGTGCTGACTAACAAATGCATTCCTAGGGGCTCTGGGACTGAGCACAACATCAGCGATGAGGGACACCCTGGACAATGTCTCCATGAACTGTTCTCCATGAGAACTTTCTCCACCTCATCTAGGTGTTCAACTGCTTCTCTAGAAATGAAGACACAATGTGAAAACAGCAGGAGATTGTCTACGAAAGACAGGAGCCCTGGGATGTGTGGTGGTACCTAGGTGACTCCAGGAGGTCTGGGGCAGCAGGCCAGCCCATAGCTGGGGCACCCATGTGGCCACTGAGCACAGGTGCCCAGCCTCAGATTCAGACAAGGTCACCAAAGCTGCCATATCACTTCACAAACACTAAGAAAACCAGGAGTGAGTCCAGGACTGGAGGAAAGAGGATTTTGAGGAACCTGCCTCCCCAGGACCAGGGTCATGAAAATCACGGAGGCCACTCCATAAAGCTGCAGAAATTGTAGCTTAAGAAATGTAATAAAATACCCAGCTCCAAAGACCTCATTCAGGCTTAAAGAGCCTAAAACAGCGGAAGGCAGTGAGGACAGGCAGGCAAGAGCAAAGGGGACACAGAGCCAAGAAGCCTACAGTGCTCACAGGGGCTGAGCCCCAAAGGTAGAGGCCTCAAGAGCCAGGGAAGATCCTTACCTTGGACAGCTCGTGTTTCAGAAAACTTGAGCTCAATAAAGCAAAGACTTAATTTGGGACAGATATCACAGGCTGCCACCTTCCACAGGGACTGTGGGCTCAGGGACATGGCAAGCAGAGGGAGTATTTGGGAAGGCACTAGTCATGCCACCTAGCAGACAGATCAGCCAAGGAAGCCATCGAATGCCCAAATGCAACGTGTCCATATAAGCTGTGAAGGCTGGGTGGGCTGCACTGTTGCCTGACCAATGGTCTGAGTTACAAGTCAAGCAGATACAGGAATGAACGTTGCAGAGGTCACCAGCATCGGCAAAGAAAATGCCTTTTAGCCCACTCCCACAGGTCAAGGAGAATCCAACCTCTGTAGCAACCAGAGGCCGAGACCAAGGCACCTGCCATGTGTCAAAGGAGAACCCATTCCAGAGGACCTGTTCTTGAATAGCAGAGATTGTCCGAGCAGCCCCCTCTGAGTCGCACTCAATTACCATCCAGATCTTGGTGGCACGGCTCATCTTGCCGTGCTCGGCGAACATCCAGCCATGGTAGGACAGGAGCACCTTCAGGGAGTAGCGCATGGTGAAGATGAGCGCCACCCACAGGCCTGTGCCAAAGAGCAGGCCGCTGACCACGTCCTTCGTCTGGGGAGACATGTAGCCTCTGGAGGACAATCGAGACAAGTTACAAATGTGCGAGCATGGGAAGAAAAGAGGCTGAGAGCAACAGCTGTACAAGACGGCATGACACGGGGCAAAGCAGACTTTGAGGGACCAAAGGGAGAGAAGGCCGTCCTGTCCCAAATCAGAACTGGCTCTATCAGAAAGAACACTTGGGAATCCACCTCTCCAGAGCCCACAGCAACTCTCTTCCCTGCCTCAAAGTGAAACAGAGCTTGGGCAGGGGCTGCGGCATGCCTGCATTTGCAGTTACAGGCAGGAGGATTTCTGGAGGCCAGCCTGGGCAACATATCAAGACTGTCTCTTGGAAGGGAAACAACAACAAACAACAACAACAACAACAACAAAAACAGAGGGGAGCTGGGCATGGTGGCACACACCTGTAATCCCGGCGCACAGGAGACAGAGGCAGGAGGATTGAGTTCTAGGCCAGCCTGAGCTATGGAGTGAGTTTAAAGCCAGCCTGAACTATAGAGAGAGAGCCTGTCTAAAAAAAAAGAAAGAAAGAAAAAGAAAAAGAGAGAGAGAAGGAGAGGGAGGGAGGGAAAGAGAGAAACGGGACAGACCAGCCAATACGCCAGTATGCTATGGTGGGAAAAACACATGATTCTCCCCAGGACCTGGGAAGCACCATGCAGTAGAGACCTGCCCAGGGGGGTGCCCACGCCCTGGTGGATGGAGATCCCCCTGCCTGATGCCCACAGGGATTCTGGGCCATTTCCTTCTGCTCTTTCTGATATTTTCCCTCCAAGTCTACCTTTGGATGTCACAGTTATTACACAATTATTACAAGCTGTATCTCAGCTTGTTATGATCTAGATAAGAAGACTCTGCTCATGTAAAATAATCACTGAAGCACTCAGGAAGCCAAGCAGGAAGATCACAAGTTCAAGGCCAGACTGAGCTACATTATTAGAAATGCTGTCCTCTGTGAATGGAAGTAGGATAGTTTATGGTAAAAATCAATCTGTAATAATGAGACAGCCCTGGCTCATTATAAAGATTAAACTCGAGGAGACTGATATGTCACCTGTACAAATCTGTAAATTATGTGACTCTAAGGTTTAAGATAATTAAAACCATAGATTATGAAAGAAAAAAACCAAGATGAAATGCAGTCATTTTTCTCTTTTTTAGTTTCAATTCTTTTGGAAACTGAAAAATATTAAAAAAGTAAAAACTATTTTAGTGACCTTCAAGTGATTAAAACAACAAACATAGGGCTGGGATTTAGCTCAGTGGTTCTGCTGCCTGCCTCACTAGTGCAAGGGCCTGAGTTTGATCCCCAGTACCAAAAAAACCAAAAAAACCAAAAAAACCCAAAAAAAAACCCCAAAAAACAGAAAACAACAAACATAACGAAACACAGCTTCAGAAACTGTCCATTTAACATAATAGCCTGCGATACTTCACTGACACGGACACAAATTATCTTTAAGGAAAACTAGCTTTAAAACTGGTATTTTCCTATAGCCTGTCAACTCTAGTGCTGGAGCAACTGTAGCCTCTGAACTGGTGGGATCTCTCCTGATAAGCCAATCTGCAAGCAAAGCTGGATTTAGGGACTGAAGAGGCTATCATTAGACTTCTCAGTACTCTGTTGCCACAGCACATATTCAACCCACAAAAATCGGACAAAGAAATGACATGCTCGGGGCTTTTTATATATACACATGGGCACCTGGCCAGTTATGAGCTCTCTTTGAAAAAGAAGGTGCTCCTGCTGGGTGTAGTGGCACATGGCTGTGATCTCAGCACTCAGGAGGCTGAGGCAGGCAGACTGCAGTGAGGGCGGCCTGGGCTACATAGGGAGATCTTGTCTCAAAAACAAACAAACAAACAAAAAACAAAGCAAAACAAAGCAAAGGAGCTCCTTATGATGCTGCAGGCATGGACAGAGCAGAGATGAACCCAAAAAGCATGCATTGCCCCTCTCTGATAGCAGCAACCTAGGACAAGGGGTGGTGGTAGCTCAGTGAGGGAGTACTTGTCTCATTTGCATGTGGCCCTGGGTTCAATGTCCAGTACACAAACAAAACAAAACAAAACAAAAAAAATCCCTACAACCCAGAGCACCAGAGTGCCATCCTCTCCAGGGGACGGTACCAGAAGGCCCTAGAGCCTGAGAGACACTGATCCTTAACATGACCTTTCTAAATGTGGGCCACAGATGGCCCAGTTTACCAAAATAGGTTCACAGGACAAAGAAACAAGTCTTATAAAGACCCGGATTACAGAAGGCTTTAAATAGCCAACATGGCTGAAGAGAATCCAGTTTTGAGAGACAGTCCGGATTAGAGAGAGAATTACAAGTCTGTGTTTAACTTGAGGCCAGCCCAGACAACTTAGCCAGACCCTGCCTGTTTAGGCTGGCTCCACGGCAATCTAAAAGCACATAAGCCCCGCTCAACATGTAAGGCATGATTGGACATGGTGGTGCACACTTATAATCCCAGTGCTCTGGGAGGCTGAGACAGGAGGATCAAAAATTTCTGAAAAAGAATAGAAGATATAGCTCAGTGCAAGGCATCTGGGTTCCAGCCTCAGTATCTCAAAACAAAACAAAACAAAACAAACAAACAAAAAAAAACCAGCCCAGTACAAAGGCAAGTTGTCCCCCGGCAACAGCCTGAAGCTCTCAGGACCTACAGTAGAGAGGAAACAGCCTGGCCCGAGTAACCAGGACTGCCAGCTGCTCCCTGTTGATAGGAATGACAGCAGCACCTGCCACAGCATCCCTGTCCCCAGGCAGACAAGGGAACTGGCAGGCATCCAGGCCAGAGAAGGTTCCACCCAGATGACTGACTGGGACTTTTTATTCCATCTCTTGCAGGTACTTATAAAACCAGAGCCAGTCTGCTGGGCCAGCCTCTCCACCACAGCTCAGTGCCATGCTTAAGGAGCAGAGTGTGAAGGACCCCTCTCCAGAATCCCCAAAAAAGTCCAGGAGTCAGGAGCACCACTCTTAGCTGAATTTCCATTCCACCAAGTTCAATCTGCTTCATTTGAGTCTTCAGAGGCAAATATAGTCAGTAGCTATGAGTGAGTAGAAGCTGTACCACACTTTTGCCGTTTCTTGTGTGTGGAAAAACCTAAAACTGCCAGCACAGGAGTGCTAGGGAGGGGCTCCCTAGGGGGTCCAAGCCACTCTGAAGATAACTAGGGGTGGACATGGCTTCAGACCCTCTATCCCTAGCATCAGTTCAGGGGGCCCAGAACTATGGGATGGACTGACTCCAGTGTAAAGAAGTGGTTACACTGGGAAGCAGCCTCCCTGCAGGCCGCTGTAAACTCCACACACTGCCACTGCTGGGCCCCGGGCACAGGGACACCTTCTGGTGAGTGCCCCAGGTCCCTACCCTTCTTCTCATCTGGCCTACAAACTCCGAGAGGACCTTGACACCAGCCCAGGAGATGGGAGGAGAGCCAGCATGAGAAGGACAGCAAAAGCTTCAGAGCAAACCTAGCTCAATGACAGTCACAGTACTCGAAGAAACACACAAACAGGGCAGTGGGAAAATCAGTGATTTCCTGGACAGCTGGAAACAGGACTACTCACGTGCTGTCGAGGGTCCGGCTGATCCTTGTGATCATCCCTAAGGAAGGGTCTACCTTGGTGTACGTGGACGACATCACACCCACCACCACGATGAACCAGCTGGAGGGACTGGCCGGGAACACGCCGGTGATGATTCCATTCTAAACAAAGATGCAAGCACCATGAGCCATGCCCTCCCCACAGGCTGTGCTGCATGGACCCTGGCAGACATCAGGCAGTAGGGCGAAGGTGTGGGCAGGTGAGTGGGGATGGCACCACCACCACCAGCTGGGCCTCTAACCTGTGTAGTCTGTTCCCTTCCTCAACTTCCCAGGAAACCCTGGCCTGAGCTGGTTTCCCCTAGTGTGACCCTGGGACATGAGGATCATCTACGTGGGCACCAGTTTACCACGCAGACTTCCAGGCTCTACCCAGACTGGCTCCTGACAGCTGTTGATGAAGAGTGTCCTACCCCAACCTCCTACTGCCCAGGACATCCACTACTGCCCCTGCAGATCCCTGAATCAGGATGCGTCAGCGCCCCTATACGTTTACAGGTGCCTGCAGTCCATGTGAGAATTTGCTGGGAAATGCTCTAGAGGGAAAAAAAAAGGAGAAGAAGCAATCTATGAAACAAAACTGGCAAAATGTGGATCTGTGTTGAAATTAGGAGGAAAACATTAGGGACCACTGGATGTTGAAAAACTCCCAATTTCAAAATTCCTTACCAAAGCCTCTCTATAAGGCACTGGTTTGAAGCAGGGTGTGGTGGCACATGCCTGTCACCGCAGCACTAGTTTGACAAAACATGGGCAATGAAGCCATTGAAGCTTTGCCAGAAATCTCTTAGGAGGTATTTCCACCCTTACATATCTGCCCCGTTAGATTTCCAAATGTCTAAGTATATTCTCTGAAATAAAAATGCTTTTAATAATAAGTCAGTTTATTGAAATTAAATAAAAAAGAAGTCAACAAAAGGGAAGGTTGGAGGTTCAAGAAGAAAATGTCTCCTATTCACCCCGTCTCCCCACCTGCAAGTCCACACCAAGGCCTGTGCCCTGCAGCGGCTCTGGCAGCGCGGGCCCTCTTGCTCCTGGCGATAGCAACAATGAGGTGTGATCATATACTGTTTATTTTACATGAGCCTTGCCAGCTCTCAGCAAGACCCGTGTGGGTCAGTTTCCACCCTGTAGGGGGCGCCCTCCGGTGATGGACATAACACCAGCTGGTAACCTGGGCCCAGGAGGCCACCAGTTGAACCCCAGGACACTGTTGCAGGGAGCTGGCTCCTGAGGACTCATTTGCTGCCACCTGCTCTAGCCCATGGGCCTGTCCATCAGCCTTCCTGTGCCAACCCAGAGGGGTACTATGAAGTGTGTGGGCTGGGGCAGGTGCCTTCTGACCACATGAACCGGTTTGAATGTTTTCAAACATCCATTTATTCCTGCCCCCCCATTTTTTTAAAGAAATTAAAATTGGGCTGGAAGCTGGGCGTGGTGGTGCATGCCTTTAATCCCAGCACTTGGGAGGCTGACACAGGAGGATTGCTGTGAGTTCGAGACCAGCCTGGGCTACATAGTGAGTTCCAGGTCAGTCTCAACTACACAGTGAGACCCTGTCTCAAAAAAAAAAATTGGGCTAGAGGGTGTAGATCATCACTCCCCAGGCTTGATCTTCAGTACTACAAAAAAGAAGAAAGGGAAGAAGGGAGGGAGCAAAGAAAAGAAAAGAACCAGACACTTGCTTAAAAGAGGACTAATCTGTAATCCCAGAACTTGGGAGGCTGAGGCAAGAGGATTGCCATGAGTTTGAGGCCAGCCTGGGGCTACATAGTAAGTTCGTGGCCAGCCTGACTTTATATATAGTAAGACCCTGTCTCAAAAAAACACCAACAAAAGAAAAATAAATTTCTTCTTCAGATTACCATTACTGAGAAAATGTGAACCAAACGGCACTGAAATTTATGTTAACAGTTCCCAGTGTTTGAATGTTTTGTCAGCAAAGCAGTTATTTCATTATTATGACTATTAATTTTTGCAGTGCTGAGATCGAACCCAGAGACCTACCACTGGGCTACACCCTCAGCCCCAGTAAGGCAGTTATTAAACAAACTCACTGAAAACGGAGAGACAATCTTTTCCCATACAATGGCCTCAGAGCAGAACAGACATGTGTACTGCTCCTGACGGACCCCTCACTAACTGGGTCACTTGCTCTGGGAGCCACGGCTTCCACACTGTTTTGCAGCAAGTCGATGGATGCGCCCTACCTGCCTTTCGGAGTTCACCAGAATTCAACAGCCAATGTATATCTGAAGGTGCTCATGAGCCTGAAGTACCACAGAAGCATAAGTCCCATGGCCTTTGTAGTCTAAAACACCGACTCCCCGATGGCACCAAGACAGCCATTCTTAGAGGTCAGAGTGAAAACTACAGAGATTAAGACAAACAGCGGAGCACCTTGAATCGGATGAACTTCTTCTTCCAGGAATGAAGGCCCGAGAGACAGATCTGTTTGAGGGCTTCATGGCTCAGCTGGAGGTCGATCCCGTCAGGAGTGACGGTGAACTGAAAGGCCACAGCTTGGTGAGCTTCTGCCATCTCTAGCAGTTACCTAGAAGACGAGGGAACAGAATGCAGTAGGTCATTTTCCCAGGTACGAGGAAAACTCCTCCTAGAAGTATAGATATCCTCCTTGTTTAACAGATTTTATATTTCTGTCGACAGATCTGATTTCTTCCCCATACTCCATATGCCTCTCCTGTCCTGTGTCACACAACTGCAGCCTCTGTTTAAAATGCCAGCATGTTTGCAGAGGCCAAGCCCATGCAACCCTAAGTGTTCCTATCCCCTGTGCCCTGACCATCCCCAAATCATGCTCCCACCAGCACCCCAAGCCCACTCAGCAGGTACAGGGAACTGATGGCTGTTTAGGGAAAACCGCTGCAGAGATAAATCTGTTTTACCGCCAGCCATCAGAGGGTGGCACAGAAGAAACCTTGAGCATCCGCAGGTACATCCCCAGCGGGCCCTGCACTTTCAGGCTGGGACTCAGCGCCAAAGCCAAACACCCATGCCTCTGGCACTGTTGCAGGCTGATCTGAGAGACCTCCCTTGGCTTCTGGATCACTCCAGGGACAGGCAGTAAAATGTGCAGGGGAACCAAGTGCTCCTCCTGACAGGTAGCACCTGAAGCTGAGGCATTTCAGAGGCACCTGGGCTGGGAACGCTGATGACACGGACCCTCAGGCTCTGAGTGGAACCGCCTGTTTGGCAGAGCCGTTTCCGATGAGGAAGAGTCTTGGTGTGGCTGGGAGCCAGGCTGGGACTGGGAGCTGAGTTAAACTTAAGCCTGCACTCCCACATGTGAAATAAAACGTCGCCAGGATATCTAAGGTAGGGGCAGGTGGGATATCCAGGAATGAGGGGGAGGCTGGTGGGGGTGACCAGCTGGGAATTGGCACACAGAACCTTCAAGTTCTGCTCTGACTTCAAAAATAGCAACTTGGCGAAACTGCACCCCACTTCTTAATACTCAGCAAACTCCTACAGCCTGGTCGATTTTGAAGACATAGATCCGAATTTCGAAAGCGGCAAGATGACCACACGTTTGCTTCAGATAAATGTACAGTGCTAAAGACAGCATCAAAGCAAACAGCTCTGAATCTGTTTCTCAAAAAGCTACCCAAAGGAGCCGGGTATGGTGGTGCATGCCTGTGATGCCAGCACTCGGGAGGCTGAGGCAGCAGGATTACCTCAAGTTTGAGGACCGTCTGGGCCACACAGTAAGTTTAAGGCCAGCCTGAATTACATAGCAAGGCCCTGTCTCAAAAAGAAAAAAAAAAGCTACCCAGGGGGCCCTAATACTCCCCCCAAGTCCCTGGGTTAACTCCTAACACCTCCCAGATATCTTCACACGTGAGGCAGCTGGCACTCTTAGCGGCAAAGAAATGAACATGACTGAACTCGAAAGGATTATTGGTGGCAGCAGATGGCACAGTGTTTGCAGTCAACTATCAGAGGCACACATGCTTCGTTTGCTCAGAAACCAAACCTCAACTCCAGAGTCAGAGGAATATTCAGAGTCCTTTCCAAGAGTAAAATGTCCTCCTTAAATTTAAGAGTTGCAGTTCTGTACGGTGCTGGGGATTGAACCCAGGCCCTCACACATGGTAGACAAGACCTCTCCCAATAAGATACACCCTCAGACCTTTTTATTTTGGGTTAGGAACTTGCCAAATTGCCCAGGCTGTCTTTAAACTTAAAATCCTCCTGCCTCAGCCTCCCAGAGTGCTGGAATTACAGGTACACACCACCACACCCACTGGATCTCTTTATTTTGACCGTTTTCAAATAATTATAAAGCATTCTAACTGGCCCTACAGTGGAGAGTCTTCCTAGATTTGCAGCAGATCCAGGACAGGATGGATAAACTGCTTCTCTTTTCTTCCTGTCCTGACCACAGTTCACACTAAGGATTCATTCAAAACCAGAGTTACCTCATACCAATAAAGAAATAAGCTAAGCATTGTTTAGATATCACTTCATAGTGTGATTTTTTTAAAAACAACCTCTTAAGCTTTGATAACACATAGTCAAATATTTATAATGCAATTTCACTGTATCTGAGATCTAGTGTGGGGAGGGTCAGACGGAGCTGCTGAGAGCTGTGGTATTGGATGGTCTCATGGCCACCTGCAGCTCATTCTGCTGTACCCTCAGATCTCTCATCTCTTCACAGAGTGTGTCTAGGGTGCTTTAGCATCTGCCTGCTGTAGGAGGTGCTAGGTCCCTCACGTGCAGAGGAGGCTTTCTGGGGCACACTCGGTGGAACGGCCACAGAGAAGGTTTTTCAAAGCTAAGCCCCCATGCTGGCTCTAAGTGATCTGCGTGCCTGTGTCCTCAAGAATAGCACACATGGGCTGGGGATTTAGCTCAGTGGTTCCGGCACCTGCCTCGCAAGCACAAGGACCCAAGTTCGATCCCCGGTATCCAAAAGAAAAAGAAAAGAACAGTACACACATCTGCCCAACAATGCTCCACAAGGGCAGCCACAGGGAGCCAAATAACATAGCCAGAGAAAGAAAGATAAAATCAAGGGGCCCAGGACGCATGGAGAGGCATCCATGTACACCCAAGCCCCTGACCTTTGTCCACACAGCCCACAGGATGGAATCATCTGACCAGTCATGACCAGTGACCTGTCATCAGCCCCTTGACCCACCCAATTACACACACTGTAAAAACAAACAAAAAAGAAAAGCCAGGCTGCAGGTCAGTCCATGCCTCCCTGCTGGCCTCCTACCCTCTTCTTGGGCAGGAGGCCACACCTCGCACCCGGTGGGCCTTCCACCCGTAGCTCCTCCCTTTCACCCAGACAGGTGTGGACACAGCTTTGCTACCTCCAAGTCACCAAGTACAGCAGCCCCAGTGACTGATGACGCAGCCATCATGGCTGTGCAAAATCAAAGTGACCCTCAGGTTGGGGCAAGAGAGCAAGCCCTTCCCTCATTCCTGACCCTGAGCCAGGGGTTTGCCAGTGTCGCTAAAGCCGAGGGACTTCCTCAAATGCAGGAAAGGTAATCAGATAAAGCCGCCCATGTCCCTCACTTCCCAAGCCTAGGAGGGCAAAAGGGACCCAGACCAGCATTTGAAAGCCTCGGAAAGGATGACAGCCTGTTCCGTGCTCTGGTGCATCCCTGCCAAGAGAAAGCCAACCTATTTCCTAGTGTGGGCTCTCTGTAAAATATGGAAAGCAAATCTTTTCCTCAAAGCAAATGAATCAGCAACCCCAAAGCAAATCAGATCCCCAAAGTAAACATCAGCAACCCCAGGTCACTACCTTGAGCCCAAAGTGGTGGGCTGGAAGGTCAGGGGCCACCTAGGAGAGCTGCCCCCATGTACACACAGACCACACCAGGGAGGCAGCTGCGAGGGGGCCGGGCAGACAAGCTGGGATGCAGAGCCTAGTGTGTCTTCCTTATCCCTCCACACTTCCCAAAGGTACAGCAAGGAGCCACCGACAGAGGGCTCTGCCATAACCCCCTGAGGTGCCCACTAAACCACTGGTTTCTTGGACCAGCTCCACTTCCTGTTCTTGCTTCTTCCTAAGGTCACCATCTGTGACCCCTTGGCCCTGGCACCCAGCTTCTGCACTAGGTGCACTGGGTGGGCAGCTCCTCTCTGACTCCCTGTACCAGGAGTCCTAACTTCCACCTGTGCATTGTGACCCTACATTTTAAGCACGTCTTCACTACTCCAAAACTACTCCAAAAGTCCATGGACTGAAAATTAACCTCCCGCCTTTGCATGTGACCCTGCCTCCCCTCTACCTTTGCTCCTACTTGGCCCAAGGCCACTGCCTGCTTTGCTGGGGCATGAGAAGACTAGACCTGCTCTGACTCGCTTCCCCCAACCTGTGCTGAATTCAGACAGAGGCACTGCCCGTGGGTGTTGCTTCGCCAATGCCCGTCCCACCTGGCACAGCCCGGCCCTTACGGCTCCTCCCAACTCTCCACCGCTGAGATTTCCCAAGAGCCCTGCTGAGCTCCACTAGTCTGTATCACCCCAGGGCTGGCCTATTCACAGCCCCTCTGGTCCTGAGACACAATGCAGCAGGGGGTGGAGACAGCAGTGTCCCTGGGGACAAGGTCTACACAACATGACCGCAGGGATCATGTATGTCAGAGCGATCCTCTGTTCAAGGATGCCTGCGGGAGAGCACACTTCAAAGGAAAGCAGATAAGAGGGAAGTAAAGCTGAGAAGAATTATATAGGGACAGGTAAGATGGCGGCTTAAACTCCCCTTTCACTCAGTCCCTCAACTACTGAGCAACTAGTCCAGCATTATTCTAGCCTTTGAACTAGAATCCCAAACCAGAGGAGCAGAGTAATAGTGAACACACCCTCTGTACAAACAGGCTGGCTGCCCCTCCCTGAAGGCGGGTCTAGACAGATGGCACAGGAGTAACCACTCAAGGACTCTTCCTGATGCAAGGCCATTTCTTGACTGTGCCCTCAGGTTGGCTTAGGGCAAATCCAGAGGTAGCAGCAACCCACCACTTATATGGGAGATGTTCAGAAACACAGCCAACTCCAGAGGTAGAAAACCCTCTGTCTGTGTGGTCCAGCATCCCTGTGGGGCTGCAGACATGTTCATTTGCATGGATGGTACAGAGCCTAGGCCCAGCTCTCACCTCTGCCCTGGACAGATGTCAGTCCTGAGTGGCTATACATGTGGCAATCACCCACCCAGAATGCCACCTGGCAGAGGCCTGCGCACAACTCCTTGCCTGCAATCTACCCCAGGTGCTCGCCCACCCCCGGGCTGAGCAGAGACGTCATGTGAAGAAGTGCTGCTTTATGAGATCCAACGACGCTGCTACAGGAGAGAGACTCACTGGGCTTAAGCACCTTATGCTAATCTGCTCCCCGGGAACGCCATCATGGTGTAGAATAAGACGCCCAAGCTGAGAACCATGACCTGTTTATCACAATTTTTTAAATGCCCATCCCTGGTCTGTGGTTCATACTTTCCACAGTATTCTCTACATGTTCCCAAATCGGCTCTCCCAGCACCCCACGTCGGCCAGGCCTGCGGGCCGCTCCACTGCC